TTTTTTATTCTTGCTGTTTGCTAGGTCTCATGAGATTTTACAGGCTCAGGTTTTCCTCTTTTTTATTCTTGCTGTTTGCTAGGTCTCATGAGATTTTACAGGCTCAGGTTTTCCTCTTTTTTATTCTTGCTGTTTGCTAGGTCTCATGAGATTTTACTGGCTCGAGTTTTCCTATTTTTCAGCTATCTTGAGTTTCTAAACATGTACATGGCTCAATAGGTTTATTTACAAAGAAAATAAATTATCAACACAATTAAAATTCTTCCTCTCATGAAATAAAAGGACATATCCTGTAGTAATTCATTTAGTATATATCCTGTAGTAATTCATTTAGTATATATCCTGTAGTAATTCATTCCGTATATATCCTGTAGTAATTCATTCCGTATATATCCTGTATTAATTCATTCAGTATATATCCTGTAGTAATTCATTCCGTACATATCCTGTAGTAATTCGATTCAGTATATATCCTGTAGTAATTCATTCCGTACATATCCTCTAGTAATTCATTCCGTACATATCCTGTAGTAATTCATTCAGTATATATCCTGTAGTAATTCATTCCGTACATATCCTCTAGTAATTCATTCCGTATTTTTGTGTCAATCTTCTCATTTTTAACGAGTCTTTTTAATGCGAAATATTCCATTTCGCTAAACAGACTCTACTTGTATTGTTTAATGGCTTTCTTTCTATAGTACTATTAGTTTACAGCATATTACATTGTGTTAGAGAATTTTTTAAAACTGACATCGCAAAATTTAGACAAATTTCTATCTCTAGAATTACCGATGGGGGTTCGATCTCATCGGCTCTTTAAACATATTTTGCATAAATTGCATTTGAGTCTATTAATTTGTTGTGTACAAGGTCTCTATTAACACATGATTCACAAACAAAAATATAAACAAAAATGGCATAAATATAGCAATCAATTTCATTAATAGCTGCGGAGATCCGTACATTTTTACATAGAAAAATTAATTATTTCACCAAGTTCTTTTTTGCCTGTTCTTCACAATGAGTGTTTTAATAGGCAAAAAAGTAAAAATATTTTGTGAACCCCATTGATAGAGAATGGTAAATCTATA